AGCTGTATTTATTTAATTTTCACATCAGTAGAAATTAGTGGCTGCTATTCGAGATCAAGTGGCAGCATGTATCCTCAATATACTTTCTTGAATAATCCAGCGGGTTTTCAGAAGTTTATCATCTGGATGATTCCAATTGTGTGTAGTCTTTGCAATTTTTACACTCACATCTGATGAGACACTGCTTTTAATTTCACTAATGATTATTGATTAGGTTATTACATAAATTCGTTTCCATTGTATATATGACCCGTTTTATATATACCGCGTTTTATATATGACTCGTTTTATATATACCTCGTTGTATATATGACGCGTTTTATATATGACTCGTTTTATATATACCTCGTTTTATATATGACGCGTTTTATATATACCTCGTTTTATATATGACTCGTTTATATATATATATATATATATATATATATATATATATATATATATATACCTATTTTATATATGAATTGATTTATATATGAATCGTTTTATATATACCTCATTTATATATGAATCGATATATATAGGAATCGATTTATATATACCTCGTTTTATATATGCTTTGTTTTACATATGCCTCGTTTATATATGCCTATTTTATATATGAATCGATTTATATATGAATCGTTTTATATATATGCCTCGTTTTATACATGTCTCGTTTTATATATGCCTCGTTTTACATATGCTTTGTTTATATATGCCTCATTTTATATATACCTCGTTTTATATATGGCTTGTTTTATATATGCCTCGTTTTATATATGCTTCGTTTTATATATACCTCGTTTTATATATACCTCCTTTATATATGCCTTCTTTATATATGCCTCGTTTTATATATACCTCGTTTTATATATGCCTCATTTTATATATACCTCGTTTTATATATGCCTCGTTTTATATATGCCTCATTTTATATATACCTCGTTTTATATATACCTCGTTTTATATATACCTCGTTTTATATATGCCTTATTTTATATATACTTCGTTTTACATATATGCCTCGTTTTATATATACATATCGTTTTATATATGCCTCGTTTATATATGCCACTTACTTTTTATCTTTTTATGTATGTACCCCTGTTATACGAAGACGCGTGTGGTGCATTAATGATGGATCTCCAGCCATTTTAGTCATACTGTTCCCGATGCAATGGCTGACATCTACCATGAAAGATGGAGAGGTATGGAAGGATTTGTTGCCATAACCTGTACGTAACCCCTGACCTAAATCTTTTGGATTGTTTACTGTGGAGCCACCTAAAACAATTGTTGCATGCAGCAGACATTAATAATGCAGAGACGGTTCATCAACGTGTCAGTGGGGCCAGTGAAACCATTGGACACCGTGTGGAAGTATTTGAAAAGGTCCGCCAGTCAATGATCCGACGGGTGAATGCGTGTGTAGAAGCAAGCGGGGGGCATTTGAACATTTGCTTTGAGTTGCTGTGTTGAGGTAAAACGATGGACTTTTGTGCATATGTTCATATAGACATTTTACCTTGATTTGCCGTGAGTAACCAGCCCCCAAAGTTTGTAAAAATAATTTTGATACGCCATACATATATATATATATATATATATATATATATATATGGCGTATCAAAAATATTTTTACATATGCCTCTTTTATATATGCCTCATTTTATATATACCTCGTTTTATATATGATTCGTTTTATATATACCTCGTTTTATATATGACTCGTTTTTCATGTCTCGTGTTTTGATACGCCATATATATATATATATATATATATATATATATATATATATATATATAGTTAAAATTTAAGCTCTACTTTTGTATTGAGCACTGTTTTTTAAAGATAAAAACAAATATACTAAAGAACTTCGGATTATTTACCTAAAAATCAGCTTAAATATTTATCGAAGCAATATATATATATATATAAATAATTGGTGTATTCGGAATGAATTCCAATAACCAACAATTACTATTCTTAAAAGAGTGCTCAATACAGAGTAGAGCAGATATAATTATTTGTTTAAAAAATTATAACCTAAATATGTTATAAAATCACTACAAAATGGCTATTTTTGTAGTGATTTTATAACATATTTATGTTATAATTTTTTAAACAAATAATTATATATATATATATATATATATATGTGTGTGTGTGTGTGTGTGTCTGTGTAATCGCAAACAAAGATTTGTACAAATGTGAATAGTACATGTAACGCGAACAGAAATGAATCCCCTTAACAAGATATTGACATTCTGCACCACTTCAAAGAAAATGTTAGCAAGGTAACCGCCATCAAACCTTCGTTGGTAGAAGAGCTAACGATTACTCGATTTGAGAAACCTGTTTCCCTAAAATATGTTTTAAGAGAAAGATGTTTTTCTTTCAAATTTCATCCGAAAGCAGTACTGGCTGCTCGATCAATATTTACCAAATTTGTCCTTGTAGAGAAACAATTAATATTACTATAAACATACATATATACATACATACATACATATACAATAGAAGTCCTCATATCCGAACTTCGGATTAGTTCGGGTATGAGGACGAGTTCAGATATAATGAAACATGTTTAATATAACTATAACTTAACAAAACACAAGAACTTACCTCAAGATATGAAAAATGAAGTGTCTTACGAAAGTAAATCTTAATTTATAATGTTTAATGCCCAATAAATTTTATTTTCAGTCGTGTTATTTCTTTTCTCCTTTTGCTTACTTTTCGCTGTTTTATTTATTTATTTTTAAATTAAGGGATTTCTGCAAATGACGTGACCTTGTACATTTTGTACGACTGAACGAAGATTTTTTTTCTCCATCACTTTGATAAACTCATCAGTAGATTTCTATACTGAGTCTCAGTCTTCTCCTTCATCCTTCATATTTTTCACCGTTACTGGAAGAATTTGATTCTTCCACTGTTTCTTAACAATCCAAACCATTTTGAAACGATTCTGCCATTGAATTCTTTTGTAATTCATTAGCGTCTTCATTTAACCATTCTTTTAAGTCATCTGAAGTGAGATTATTCAGTGGATCACCTTCCAGTGCAAGTTTTAGTGTTTCGTTCGGATTCTGCAAGCGTTGTTTCTTAATTTGCAAATTCAACAAATTAGGAGCTTCGTCCTGTTTTTCAATAATCTCTAATTTCTGAAGTAACGTGAAGGAATTTCTTTTACTTTTTCTTTCAGTTGAAGTTTCTTCTGTGCAAGACATTATGGATTAAGAAATTTCAAATTACAAGGACATCTACTGTATATATATTTTAATTTTTAGCTTTACTAGCTTGGTTTTTTTCTTCTTTGGACTAAAGACTTAAGACACTGGACGATTTGTTTCGCCCTGTTCAAATGTTTTTAGTACGTTCTTTTTTTCCAATTTTTTTCCAATTTTTTCTCGGGTACCGATTTGTTTTGACATATCTACAGATATAAATTCAGTTGTATGGATATGAGATTGTAACCCTGGGTTTCACGATTTTGCGATCATCATGCAGACTGATTTAATTTTTAAAAATTGATACTATTTATGTCAGTTTTTGTTTGATTATATTTAGTGGTGGAGTGAAGGGAATTCTTCTCTGTGTCTGTTCTGGAATGACAATCAAATGTACGCTGACATACATACATAAATACAGGTGTACGCATTATAGTTCACACAAACACATACATATAAACAATGCGAGATTAGGCACAGATATACATATCAATGTATTCGAGCATACATACATACGCAGTTGAAATCCTATTTCGGTGTTGAAACTGTGTATAGCGAAGTTCTTTCAACAAGGGGTAGGCTGGGGTGTTCTTAGCTCTTTTCAAATCGGCCGTCTGTGTCTTCAAACGGAATAATACTTCTTCACACACAATCATACACACATGTATACGTGCACATATATTTCTATTTCTCTGAGCCTTGCATCACGATATTGTTTGAGTGGGTAATTTTAAAGTTACCCCATATCGCTTGATAATGAAACAGATTATAAATTTCGAAACACGGAAATTTCCTTGTCGCGATGAAATATATATATATATATATATATATATATATATATATATATATATATATAGTGACTTTTCCGCTGTATCACAACTCATTACTGTGGCTAGACATCTGATTGCTTCAAACCTGGATTGAAACCTAAGCGTTTTGGCATCAGTCAGATATTCTACCCCAAAGCTATCGTTGCACGGCAGAGTGGAAGGGACATTTTAACGTTTTTACTATGCGAAAGACATCAGTTGCTAGGAGAGCTCGATTCAAGTAGAAGAGCATTGCATTAACAGCAGTAGTCACTGTTTAGAAAATCACCACTTCCACTCCGAGAGCATATATATCTATATATATATATATATATATATATATATATATATATATATATATATATATATATGCGTGTGTGAATTAAAGAGAAAAAAAAGATAATTAGGCGACATGAGGCCAAAATAAATTAATCCAAAACTGATAACGTTTTGCAAAGGAGTGGAAAGTGGATGACAAGGGAGAGATGTTACAACTCAATGCTTCCCGGAGACTCCCATAACACTACGCATGCGGTCGATTACAGCTACACTGAGAATCTAAGCATCGCAAATACATTGGTGTGCATACCGACCCACAGACCATCTTCAGGCTGCCACACCTGATCCTACATTCATGGCCCTCCACCAGACGTGATGTACAAACAATATTCAACGCACAGACAAATGGTGGATTTATAAATATGCAAGATGAATATTGACGAGAAATAATGTCTGGCAGTGAAGTAATCTACCTAGCAGCGGACCTATAAATAGATCCGAACAAACATTAGCAATGAATAGCATGTTCACTATAACGCCCCAAAACTAAATAAAGTCTATGACAGTGCTGGTCAAAGGGTCTAGTGCCCACCACGATCCTTGGATCTATGATATGAGGCCCTCTGCTACATCTCAATTTTCATGTGATCTATCTATCTATCTATCTATCTATCTAGTCTGTTTATATCCATTCAGTTTGTTTAAATCTATCTATCTATCTATCTATCTATCTATCTATCTATCTATCTATCTCAGTTTGCACATTGTCTATCTATCTCTGTTCATATTTATCTATGTATTCTGTTCAGTTCTTTCCCCCTTCCTCTCTCTCTGTCTCTCTCTCTCTCTTTCAGTCTTCATATCTATCTATCTATCTATCTATCTATCTATCTATCTATCTATCTATCTATCTATTCCAGTGTGTTCTTCATCTCTATCTATCTATCTATCTATCTATCTATCTATCTATCTATCTATTCCAGTGTTCCAGTGTGTTCTATCATCTATCTATCTATCTATCTATCTATCTATCTAGTCTGTTTAGATCATCTATCTATCTATCTATCTATCTCTATCTAGTTGTTTATCTATCTATTTATCTATATATTCCAGTTTGTTCTTGATCTATCTATCTAGCCTGTTTAGATGTATCTATCTATCTATCTATCCATGCAGCGTGTTTAGATCTATCTATCTATCTATCTATCTATTTACAGATCCTTCTTTGGATTTTGTCAAAAATCTCTGCATGTACAGCAGGAGCACCAGACGAGATATGGCAGCAGTGTTCAATGCGCGGACGAATAATAACATATATAAATGAGCAAGCTGAATTGCGACGCGAAAGAATGCCGTAATGATATAATAAACACGATATTTGACGCTTACTTACATGCACACATGCACGCATAGATGCAGAAGCGACTCACGCACGCACAAGCAGACGCACACAGAGCCAGACTGTCAATCAGTTCACCGCCATCCGTGTTACACGCTTGGGCGATCATGTCTCTTTCGATTCATGACTGACTAGGCATAAGAATTTCCCGCGCTAGATTGCCCTTTCTTTCTCAAGTAAACTGGTTCCTACCCAAGGCTATTTGACCAGGTCTATCCTAATATTCAACCAATAATTGGAGAGAGAAGAGGGGGGTTCATACATTTCCCAATGTATTTTCGAAGAGAGAGTCTGTGCGAATATAAGAGCGGACACTGAGGTCAACACCGAGAGTCGAAAGTCGGTTTCATCCTTGAACACATTCTTCAGACATTATACTAGTGCCATCCTTTCGGAAGAAATTAAAGTGGTCAAGCGTTTTCTGCTCCGTCTACGTTATCGAGGCGTTGAACACTTTACAGAACGAAGGGAAGGATTTTAAAGTCGGAATTTTCGAACACGCCTGTGTCCTTTTTCAACGAGACGAGGAATAGACAAAGAAGTGAAAATCAATCTAACGGGGAATGTTATTGTTTTTATGTTATATTTCCCTCGTGTATTGTATATGTTTAAACAGGGACTTGTGTTTCCTGAGAGAATGTACTTTCCACAAGGAGCACTCTGCAAGCATTACACAACCCTGAAAAACTATGAGGCCAAAAACAAATTTCTTACATAAATCAGAAATACAACACTCTAAAAAACCTACCCACTCTAAAAAACCAACAACAACAACATTCTCCGGAAGAGTGAGTAACATTTCTTTGTTTATTCCTCGTCTCGTTGAAAAAGGACACAGGCGTGTTCGAAAGTTCCGACTTTAAAATCTTTCTCTACGTGCTTCAATTTAATCAAAAGCCTAATGTATAATAAATATCATAAATCTTATATTATTATCATTTTGTTGTCATTTATTTCTTTAAATTTCATTAACCACACTAATATATATATATATATATATATATATATATATATATATATATATATATATATATAGTCATCCACAGACAGACTGTTTAGCTGTATCACAACTCATAAGTGTGACTTGACGTCTGGTTGCTTCTAGCTAGGACCAAAACCCGGCTCAATTGGCGTCAGTCGGAGATTCTACCCCTAAGCCATTGGTACACGGCATGGATGAAGGTGAATTTAAGCGTATTTATTTTTGGATAAAGACACAGTGACTGAGAGAACTTCTTTCACTTTTCGAAGAAATAAAATAAAATCTTAGCTTAAAAAAAATTAACATATTTAAGCTAGTATTTCATTTTATTTCTTCACGCCTTGGTGTTGACAAATCCTGCAAAGAAGGTATTGCAGAGTGAAATAGCTACTCAAATGGGGTAATTTTGAATTTCTGTTCTATGTAATTTATCTATTTATATATGCTCTACAATAATAAACACAATGAGCACTTTTTGTGGATCAGTTTTAATATTTTATATTATTAGGATTCACTTAGACTATACGCCAACGGGTTATTACCTATATATATATATATATATATATATATATATATATATATATATATATATATATATATATAAAAACAGACCACTTTAAGGTTCCATTATAATAATTTATTTCACCAGAACGCTTTTAAAGGACTTCGGATCATCAGATAGCAGTTCCAAAAATGAGACGAAAAATGAAATGGAAATTGATGGGTAGTATAAGTTTTTGTAATTTAAAAGAGAGTATAATAGGAGTAGTTAGAGAGACATGGTAGAGTTTAGGGAGGGTTTAATTTAATATCTCTCTCTATCATCCTTAGTATCAAACATTAGCTCTGGATTTACATTGAGCTCTCAGGATTTTATCCTCCTTAGGATTACCCATACGTATTACCAAGTTTTTCATAACTTAAATATATATATATATATATATATATATATATATATATATATATATATATATATATATATGTGTGTGTGTGTGTGTGTGTGTGTGTGTGTGTGTGTGTGTGTGTTTATATAGGAAAATTAATAAGATTGGAAAATACACCTAATGCTTTATATATTTTATATGTAGGTTTACAGGAAAGTGTTAAGATTGTTTTACTTACGGATAGATTTTACTTACATGTGTGTTTTCAGGAAAAAAAATCGTATTACTTATGTGGTTTCGTTGTGTACCTTTTCATAAGTTTCTTTGGTGTTTGAAAATTATTATCAGGTTGTCACTTGGTTTATATTTAGAATGAAAAATACAAAAAAAAAACAAAAAAAAACAAGGGAGCTAACTGGTATATGGTGAGGAACATATCAATTTTGAAGGACGTAATATGTGTGCGTGCATGCATGTATAATTTTGTATTTGGGCAACAAACACTCTTTTATACAGGTTTCATTGCTGAAGATATTGGATTTTTCTTGTAATGAAACCTTTACAAAAGAGAGATTTAAAAGATTATTATTATTATTACTATTATTATTTCCTTTGATTTCTGTTGTATACAGATTTCCTTCCGGGTCCCAACCAGAGACCTAAGTTCAAAAATAGCTTCATGACATATTCCACAGAATATGTTTGTAAAAAAAAAAAAAAAAAAAAAAAAGACGAAGACCACATATTTTACATAGATAAAGCTCTTCGTAATGTGTGAGCTATGCTTTAGTGTACAATTTTTTTTTTGTATTTCTTTAAGGCATGGGCTACCAGGAATCCCTTCAATGAGTCTATCGGAACCTTTTCCAAACAAACCCAGGACCCCATACAAGTGGAATTATTAATGTTTTCATATGCTACAATTTTGGGATTTCCACTTCAAGAGCCTTGTAATTTGATAGTTTTTTTTTTTTTGAAGATCTCAGTTTCCATTATTATTATTATTATTATTATTATTCACTTGTTATCCTCTTGAGAATATGTGAGAAAGGTCAAACTATACTAAATCCCCACTAGAGCCCCATTACTCTCATCATTAAAATAATAATAATAATAATAATAATTATTATTATTATTAATAATATTGGTGGTGGTAGTGGTGATGGTGGTATTGATTTTTTTTCTATTTTCTCTCTCTATCTTTCCATCTTCGTTCGCCATGGTCGGGTTGAAATGCCGTCGGCCATCCATGTGGGGGATTTCACAGAGTGTCGGATTTGACTCAGTATTTTTTTTTCTTTTCGCTTACTTAAAAGCCTGCCCCCGGGGAAATCCTTGATCCGTTATCATTTTTCCCGGGACAGACATGTGAAAATCGGTAAGGGGGGGGTGTTCCAGTTATTGGTTGAACGAACTAAACAGCCTTAATCCCTTGTCGGGGAAAGAGAAGAGAGTGAGTCGGATGAGGTGGCGATGGCGGGCAGTGGAACGTGGAGAGAGAGATTCTTGATATTAACAACGATCCTTCAAACCCAGTCTCGCTGATAATGTCGGTAAATTTGCTCAGTAGTCGATAACCCGCTCTGAGGTATTTACTTGACTAAGCCAAACCTGGATCAGGTTAGGTTAGGCTGGTCAACCCTTTTTGAGTTGGCAAGTGTTTTATATGAAGCAAACTGTGACAAACGAAGTAACTACTCAGGATTAATAAAAGCTTATCATTACTTTCATAGCAAACGTTCAGATGAGCTCCATGTCTGTAAAGCAATCGTTTTAAACCTATACATCTTGGACATTTACTCAGTCTTGTCATGGAAGCCATATTCTTTAAATACAAGCCTTTTGATATTCTGTTGCTATTTCCATGGCCAATATTCAGATGAGATCCCTTTAGTTAATCTGTTTCAGACTTCTACAGTTAGTATATTTACACAGTCTTGTGATGGAAGCTATATTCTTCAATTCGTAGCCATATTCCCGATTACAAGCCTTTGCTATTTCGTTGCTATTTCCATGGACAATATTCAGATGAGATTCCTTCTTTAGTTCCACGGTTTCAGAGTTTTACAGTTAGGATATTTACACAGTCTTATGATGGAAGCTATATTCTCCACTCTGCAGCCATATTCTCCAATTACAAGCCTTTTGCTATTCTGTTGCTATTTCCATGGCAAATGTTCAAAGGAACTCCATTCTTTAGTTCCACCAGTTCAGACCTTTAGAACTTGAATATTTACACAGTCTTGTGAGGGAAGCCATATTCTCCCATCTGCAGACGATTTCACACATATGCAAAATTGCAAGCCATTTGTCATTTCACAAGTTTGAATCATTCTTATCCCCTAGGAATTCCATTGGTAAGTGATACGTCCCGGAATGGGATATGTTTGATCGAAGTAGCTAAGTGGATTTGGCTACTGTAACCAAGTTGTACACGCTAGAAGTAATCGACTGGTACTCATCGTAGTCGCAGGCAATAGGTGTAGACCAATAGGATAGCCAGTGGCGTAGTCCAATGGGCGTCGTCATAGACTTAAACTCTGTCGTACCTACACGTCCGTCTGTATTTATGGCGGACACCAGTCAATCATATTCCAGTGAGGGGGAACTCAGGTGTATGCATATTCCATTATATCAGTAAGAATGGCGTTCCATACCGAGAGCTTCTTCCCGAGACCTTCTAATTTCTGGAACAATCTCCTCACGTGGCTACTTCCTCGAACACTATCTTTTGATGGTGTAATAGAATAGGGCTCGGAATAAGAAATCGTAGAGCCGAGTTCGAATCCCAGTCGCGTTCATTGGGATCACTTACGCGAAAATATCCTTGGGAAATGTATGAATTCATCTGTTTCCCCTAGCTATGGGTTTAATACTAGCACTTGCAATAGGAAAACTTGTTATTCTGAAAAAAAGTTAATGTCATATCCATACCAAACAAAAATATTCTTACAATCTCAAATAAGTTTCGACATTAAAAAAAAATACAGAGGGTTGACAAGCCGTAAAAAATCAAATCAAGCTTTTGACGTTAAAATCTTAACCTCTTCCAGTTTACCGTCAATCCTTATCTATCTGATATCTCCTCTTACTCTTCCCTTTCTACCTCCTCCTCTTATATCATTCACCACATTCCGTAAGTTTCCAACGATCAATTTTACCTTGATGCGAATATAAAGAATTTGTAATTCTTCCAAAACGAAACTCCCCTCTTTTAAGAATCTGGGAGAAACTTTTTTTTTTGCCTTCCGTCGGCATGGCTGATGCTAACCTCCAAGATAATAACTCATTGCACCTTTCCAGGATAATTTTTACTGGACATGGAAGTGGAAAGATTAAATTTAATCATCTGTAATGACTGCTGCTAGGAAAATTGGTTCACAGTGTCATGCTATACAATTTTTCTCACCAGGATCTATTCGTCCATTCATTAAATATAGCTACCACATCTGGTCGGGTGTTTATATGTATTTAGAGATCATAGATAAAATCCAAAAAAGAATCTGCAATATTATCAGTCCTGACTTGGTATCTCGGCTTCAATCACATTCCAGCTGCCTTAACGTAGCTTTCCTGTGTCTTTTCTATAAATATTTTCATGGTAAGTATTCTGATAAGTTTTCCTTTTTTGGTAACTAGATTTTATGAATTTAAATGCTGTACTAGATTGGCAGCTAGGTCTCATCATTTTACAGTTGAAATGGCTAGATACTACTACAAGATCTATGCTAACAATTTCTTTTCTCATTTGTTGAACTCTATCTCCCAAATTCTTGTTTTCCTGTTAATTTTGATCTTCAAAAATTTAAATGCAATGTCAATCATTATCTTGTCTTCTTTCTTTTATTGGTTTCATTCTCGTTCCTTAATGTCTTTCTTTTCCTTATATTCTTTCAAACTCAGAAACACCTTGTCTTAGTGGCTTTATTGCCTTACTTGAGATGAAATGGTTTGTTAATTTTAATGCCCCCAAAATGAAACTGGTCTCTTTTAAGAAACTGAAAGAACCTTTTTTTTCTTTTTTTTGCCTTCCGTCAGCATGGCTGATGCTAACCTCCATGATATTGACTCATTGCACCTTTCCAGGATAATGTTTACTGGACATGGAAGTGGAAAGATTATCCTTAATCATCTGCAATGACTGCTGCTAGGAAAATTGGTTCACAGTGTTCTGCTACACCATTTTTCACACCAGGACCGATCTTATACATTTATAAGTCTACCATTTGTACATTCATTGAATATGGTTACCACATCTGGTCGGGTGTATTTAGAGATAAAATCCAAAGAAGATTCTGCAATATTATCAGTTCTGATTTGGTATCTCAGCTTCAATCACATTTCCGCTCCCTTAATGTAGCTTTTCTGTGCCTTTTCTATAAATATTTTCATGTTAAGTGGTCTGATGAGTTTTCCTCTTTGACACGGTGGAGTAATGGATAACGGCTCGGATTGAGGAATCGGAGAGCCGAGTTCGAACTCTAGTCGAATCCATTATATTCACTTACGTGCTAATGTCCTTGGGAAAGGTACCAATCTTCTTATCCACCCTAGCTATGGGTAAATAGCCTGGATGGCAACTGTTCTACCGCAGAAAGAAATAGCAACCTATTGCAGGAAAAAAAATCTGCCTCGTCAGTCATATATCGAAAGATACAGGATCGCCTACGCGTGTATCACACATGGCACAGAACTAGATTTTATAATTATCTGTCTATATTTCTGATACGAGTTATTATGTACATTATTTACATTATTCGGACTATTGTCTTCATCTTTGTGGCCATATTTATCACAACGTTTCGGCGATAGTACACTCCGGCCTTCTTCAATTGGTTGGAATGTCGAGCATAGAAATAAATACAATATGGGAACCAGTAATAAGGAGTGCCAGAGAAAAGCGATAATAACAACAAAAAATGCAATATGAGCACTGGTAAAAAATGATTGCTGATGACATTAGAATTTTAATACCCAGAAATTCATACACACATGTCCTCAAGGACACATGACACAGTGGATAAAGGCGTTAGTTAGATCCAGTGACAGGGCCAAAAGAGTTGTGAGTTCAATACCTAGTTAAGGCAGTGGAGAACTTGGAGAGGGGGATTAAAAGGAGATAACTGATAACTGACATCCATTAGACATGGCACGTGGAACTAGAACAGTCTACTCCATTGAGAGAATTAAAGGGTTCATTTCGATATTCCAACCACCTGAAGAAGTCCGGAGTGTACAACGGTCGAAACGTTGTGATAAATATGGCGACAAAGATGAGGACAATAGTTCGAATAATATAAATAATATAGATTTTATAAATTTAAGTACTAATTGGCGGCAAGATACCATCAATTCACAGTTTAAATGACTAGATGTAACCGTAAGTTCTATGTTAACACTTTCTTCTCTCACACTTCAGCCTTGGGAATCTCTTTTTCGGCTTATTTCTTCCCAGTCAACATTGATCTCCAAAAATTTAAATCTAGTATCAATAGTTATCGTCTGTCTTCAACGTGGCTGATGCTCACCTCTTGGAGAGTTACTTACTGCGACTTCTCAGGCCAACATTTTCCGTTGACATGAATGGAAAGATTATATTGAATCCATCGCTAAGTCAGCTGCTAGGAAAGTTGGTTCACTGTTCCGTGCAAGACATTTTTTCTCGCCAGAATCTATCCTACATATTTATAAATATCTGCTATTCGCCCTTATATTGAATATTCCTGTCACATATGGTCCAGTGTTCCTGCTATACATTTAGAGATTCTTGATAAAATCCAAAGAATACGCAATGTTATTGGTCCAGATCTGGCATCTCGGCTTCAGTCTCATTCTCACCGCTGTAACGTAGTTTCTCTGTGTCTTTTCTATAAATATTTGCATGGTAATTGTCCGGATGAACTTTCCTCTAAGGGGTCTAGACTTTATGAATTTAAGCGCAATGCTAGTTTTGCGGTAAGGTCTCATCAATTTAGAGTTGAAATGGCTAAATGCAACCGTAAGTTCTATGCTAACACTTTCTTCTCTTGCACTTCTCCCTTGTGGAACTCTCGCCTGTCTTTTTGCTTCCCAGCCAACATTGAGTATGAGAAATTTAAGTCCAAGGTCAATCGTTATCGTCTGCCGTCTTAATTGTCCTTCTCTTTAATAGTTTTTATCTAATATTCTCTAAGATTCAGTTACCCCTTACGTCTTAGTGGCTTTATTTTCTTGCTTGAGGTGAAATGATTAAAAAAAGAAAGAAACATATTATTATTATTATTATTATTATTATTATTATTATTGTTGTTGTTGTTGTTGTTGTTCTTTCATTTTGAAAGACCGTTTTATGAAAAAGAATAAAAGAAAAATAGTTTGGTAGGAAAAATGTGCAAGACATGAATAACAATTTGTGAATATCAGTTATTTCAAGTAATGTGCGCATGTATGTGTCTGAGAGAGACATAGAGAGGAAAGAGAGAAGAGAGAGAGGGAGGAGAGAGAGAAGAGAGGGTGGAAAGAGGGTGGAAAGAGATGAAAGAGCGAGGAGGTAGAGAGGAAAGAGAGGAGAGAGGGAGGAGAGAGAGATGAAAGAGAGAGAAGGGAGGGAGGAGAGAGAGGAGATAGGGAAGGGAGATGAGAGTGAGAGGCGAGGGAGGAAAGAGAAGAGAGGGTGGAAAGAGGGTGGAGAGAGAAGAAAGAGAGAGGAGAAAGGGAGGAAAGAGAGAAAATTGAAGGACGAGAGAGGGAGGAGAGTGATGAAAGAGAGAGAAGGGAGAGAGGGGAGAGTGAGGAAAGAGGGAAAAGGGAGGAGAGAGATGAGAGAGGGAGGAAAGATAGAGGAAAGAAAGAGAAGAGGGGGAGGAGAGAGAAGAGAGGGAGGGGTGAGAAAAAGAAAGAGGGTGGAAAAGAGGGTGGAGAGAGAGAGGAAGAGAGGGAGAGAGGAAGGAAAGAGAGAGACTGGAGGGGAGGAGAGAGAGAGAAGAAAAGAAAAGGAGAGAGGAAAGACAGAGGAAAGAAAGAGAAGAGAGAGAGGAGAGAGAGAGAAGGGAGAGAGGGGAGAGTGAAAAAAGAGGGAAAGAGGGAGTAGAGATGAGAGAGGGAGGCAAGGGAGGAAAGATAGAGGAAAGAAAGAGAAGAGGGGGAGGAGAGAGAGGAGAGGGAGGGGAGAGTGTGGAAAGAGGGTGGAAAGAGGGTGGAGAGAGAGGAAAGAGAGAGAATGGAGAGAGGAGAGAGAGAGGAAAGAGGGAGGAGAGAGGAAGGACAGAGGAAAGAAAGAGAAGAGAAGAGAGAGAGGAGAGTAAGAGAGAGAGTAATTATGATATTTGCATAAAGGTCATCGATATCCATAAACTTGTAACTTTAACTGGGTGAACTTTGTTTAATTAAATAACCAAACAGACTAGATTCGCTAACACTTGTTCCTTAATCCAAGTCACCCGTTAATCTCCGTTAATCTTCGTTAATACCTTTAAAGGTGGAATATTAAGGGAATTAAATACACAATTCCTTTGCAATCAAATTCCCGAACCAAGTTTGTTTAATTTGTTTTGCATTTTTTTTTCTTGTATTTTTAATCAATTCACTCCAAGTAAAGCAATAAAGCCACTAAGACGCAGGTTCTACCGAAAGTGAAAGATGAAGAAAAGACTTTAAAATGAACCGGAAACCCAATCCTAAACAAAGGGATAAACCTCTACTCCTGTTCAAAAGACCAGGGAATTACACTTATAGATTAAATGAACGATATAGTTCGAAATTCCCTAAATCGGATCAGCAGACACCGGCTGAAGGTTAGAGGACACAACGGATGGAACGTTGTGATAATAACAACAAGGGTGAGGATATTAATCCGAAGATAAAAAATTAAATAGCAGTTTGTTTTATGTCTAAACGCAATAGTTTAGCCATGAAAATTACGTTTGCGTTTCGTTATTTCACAGTTGGGTTCAAGTGTTTAAGCATAAAACAGACGCCCTCGGGGACCACTTTTTTTTATTTATATCAACATACGCTGTATCCCTGATATTAAGCACTTTAAGAAATAATTTCAAAAATGCTAAAAAGACATTTAGCAGAGGACCAGTTGCCGTCAAATTCTGAACCGGACTTTGATGCAAGGAGCTTGCTGGTTAAGCTGCTGGGTGTACAATTGGTTGTACAATAGTCCAACACAAAAACGGGTGTACAATAGTTAAACACAAAAATGGGGATACAATAGTTAAACACAAAAATGGGGGTACAATAGTTAAACACAAAAATGGGGGTACAATAGATAAATACAAAATTGGGGGGTACAATAGTTAAACACAAAAATGGTGGTACTATAGTTAAACACAAAATGTGGGTACAATAGTTAGACATAAAATTGGGGGTACATTACTTAAACACAAAAATGGGGGTACAATAGTTAAACACAAAAATGTAGGTACTATAGTTAACCACAAAAATGGGTGTACAATAGTTAAATACAAAAGTGGGGGTACAATAGTTAAACAGAAAAATGGGGGTACCGTAGTTAGACACAAAAAATATACTATAGTTAAACACTAAAATGGTGGTAATATAGTTAAACATAAAAATGGGGGTACTATAGTTAAACACAAACATTGGAATACAATAGTTAAACACAAAAATGAGGTTATAATAGACACAAAAATGGGGCGTACATTAGTTAAACATAAAAATGGGTTACTATAGTTAAACACAAAATACAATACTTAAACACAAAAATAGGGGTACAATAGTTAAACACAAAAATGGGGGTAATACAGTTAAACACTAAAATGGTGGTACTATAGTTAAACATAAAAATGGGGGTACTATAGTTAAACACAAACATTGGAGTACAATAGTTAAACACAAAAATGGGTGTACATTAGATAAATATAAAAATGGGTTACTATAGTTAAACACAAAAATGGAGGTACAATACTTAAACACAAAAATAGGGGTACAATAGTTAAACACAAAAATGGGGGTAATATAGTTAAACACAAAAATGGGGGTACTATAGTTAAACATAAAAATGAGTTTACAATTGTTAAACACAAAATTGGTGTAAAATAGTTAAACACAAAAATGAAGGAACAAAATAGAGAAACAATCCAGTAGTAAGTTGCCAAAAGAATTAAGGAACTCATAAAGGACATAGAAACAAGAAGGAATTAAATCGAAAAAAAAACTACGCGAATGAGAAGGATTTTTAAAAAAAATGTTAAAAACACATTTAGCGGAGGCCTAGTTGCTGTAAAATGCTCAACCGGGCTTTGTTGCAAGGAGCATGTTGGCTAAACAGTTGGGTGAACAATTGGTTGTGCAATACTTCAACACAAAAATGGGTGTACAATACTTCAACAAAAACATGGATGTACAATAGCTAAACACAAAAACGGGTCTAAAATAGTTAAACACTAAACTGAAGGAACAAGATGATGGAGACGAACGTTATGTTGACAGAAGTAAGTTGCCAAAAAAAAAATAAATAAAGTAACTTATAAAGAAGAAAGAAACAAGAAAGAATTAATTAAATCGAAAAAAAAAAAGCTACGTGAATAAAGAGTACGATTTTTAAAAAAATGATTAAAACACATTTAGAGGAGGAATAGATGCCGTGCAATACGCGATCGAGCTTAGATGCAAGGAGCATATTGGGTAAGCAGTCGAACTACTCCATACGTGGAACCAACATGGTACTCGCTTCGTGATAGCTTGCCTAGCATTGTCATTATTATCGAAGCCAGCATCCAGCTTCTTAGGCAACTTTCTGATCGTAATCCGCTAATTCGCGTTTCTCTTCCCACTGAAACACATTATCCAGTGCCTGACTGCATTCAGATCCACTGTTTGATTTCCGTAAACTTGTAGCAGGCGTCGGTGAATCTCAGTGAGCCAGATATTTTCACATAGAAGAGCTCAATGACACGCCACTATTTCGTACGCCTTTTCATGTCAGACGCCATTTTGCCAGACTGCTGTCTTGAATAAAGCAAAAAGAAATGAGAGAGATCGAAGAACTGAACATAGAACAGATTGCTCTTGAGAATGTTTCGCCCCAAATCGAAAATTCCTAGAAATCCAAAACATTAATCTGAAAACTCGAATCATGTTTTTAAAAAGCCTATTTTTTAAAAAAAAAAATACTTTTTTTAACGGATGTCAGGCATGACGGCAAACTTGTTCAGAAATATCTAAACTGTCAGCTGTATACAACCACTTTCTCAGATCAATGGGTAAAAATGGTTTTGAACCAGTAAAGCCTGTGCTTCTTGACGAAGACCAGCCTCCTTTGGGACCTTGTGGACTGGCGCTACAGAATCACAAACAAAAAAAAAAGTACCAGATAACGGAAGCCACATCAATTGAGGACTTCCAAAAGTAACAATATGCATATCACATGTAACTCGTAGAGACATTAATAACATAATCAAGATGTTGACGTTCCACACTACTTCAAACAAAAGGTTAGGAAAGAAACGCCCCAACACTACTGGAAAGAGCAATAACAGCTACTGGACTTGAGAGAACTATTATTGTAAATGATTTATTATAAATTTAAACCGACGGTAGTCCTGGCTGCTTGGTCAATTAATGCCGAATGGTTCATTCTGTCTTTCTGAATTCTATTCTTTTATTGTCTCTTCTCCTTATTAAAGTCTTCTCTTGCTTTTTCATTCTCAGTAACTCCCTTACGCCTTAGTGACTTTATCGCCTTGCTTGGGGTGAAATGATTAAAGAAAAAGGAAACGTTTAATTTTAAAATTACGATTATCATTACCATAGGGAATGAAAATCTGTATTCTAAATTTTGAATGAACGAGATTGACTTCAATCTTATTCTATTTGCACTAAAAAAAAAGTATTTTATAAGACTGGCGATCATCCTTATCAATAAATCATGGTAATTTAGAATATATATATATATATATATATATATATATATATATATATATATATATACTGGTGCAAGTAATACAAAAGTATATGTTGTTCATTAAAAAGTATTTATACAAAGCTGTGCGTTACCGTAATTTTTTCATTATGCTTTTAAATGCAAAATGGTTGACAATGTGCTGTGCGTTCATTAGAACGTGAAAAAAATTGTCCATTATGGATAAAATTGAGAGAAAAAAAATTCTTGGAAGAAGATCGAAAGTACTTGGGAAATGAATATAAAAGAAATTTAAACAGTTATAGCACATTTCTCTCATCCTTTAACATAAGTACACGGAAGGTTATTCGTGAGTATGAACGGATCTTGTTAAAAATTAGCAGACATAATTTATTAAATCAGACATATATATATATATAGATAGATAGATAGATAGATAGATAGATAGATAACTATACTCCTTTCGAAAAACCTTCGAATTTTTGATTTGCCAATAATCAAATCAATCTCGAGGGAAAAAAGGTTTAAAAAAAAAGAAAGAGCTAGAAACATGAAAGTCTGTCGAAAAAAATCGCACAGATACAGGTTTAAAGCCTAAAGAAAAAACCCCGACACGAGTAAACAACTAACTAACAAAAGAGCTCAATACAACCGCTTTATCTATCTATCTATCTATCTATCTATCTATCTATATATATATATATATATATATATATATATATATATATGTATGTATATATGCGTTGTTAGTATAGCAGTTTAATTATTCTATCTGGTCTGAAATTTTCTTTATAAGATGAGAGACCTTGCCTATCAATCAAAACTTTGTAATTTAGATGAGCAAAAGGTTTACTTAATTTTGATATCAGTTTAACCCTTCTCTCTGATTTAATAATCGTTTTATAGGAATGAAGACCTTGCTTATCAATCAAACCCCGTAATTTAGAATTTTATTTTGACTCCAGTTTAAGCATTCTACCTGGTCTAAAAATTTCTTTTATAGTACTGGGGACCTTATTATTAATCAACACTCGTAATTTATAAAAGGAATAAATTGACTTAATTTTGATACCAGTTTCATTATTCTATCTGGTCTAAAACTTGTTTTTTAGACTATGATGCCTTAATTATCAATGAACCCCTGTCATTTTGTAAAGAAATAAATGGATTTCATTTTAATACCAGTTTCATCGTCCTGGATATAACGATAAACTACATCCACGCCCAAGGTAAAACATTAAACTACATCTGACAGCAAGGCCTCTGATTGGATGTTTGAGGAGTGTGGAACCACCTCTTAATTGCTGGTGTTCCCAGTTCCACCCTGAACCGTTGTGGTGGCACCTGTTGTGGTCCCAGCTATGGGCAAATAGTTGACCTCCAAACAGGGGTCAAAACACTGTGGTGATGTAAAAATAGGTATTAATACCAGCGATACATTTTTCAGGGAAACAATTAT